ATGTCTAAATTTACTAGGTGTACACTTTAATGAGAAATGCAACAAATTAACTAGTTTTATACTTTAATTAAAATGTCCAAATTAACTACTTGAATATAACGCCATTAATGGATAAAAGAAGAGAAGAGTACCTTGGTGGATTGGCCGATTGGTTGATGATGAATAGGGAGAAGATAATATATGTATGTAAAGTAGATAATAAGATATCAAATTATCTACTTTAAGAAGATAGTAAGTATATATTAACTATTAAGTAGACAATAAATATTAGTAAAGTACTATATGTATATATAAGTAGATAATAAATATATAAGTAGATATAATATATTAATAATAAGTAGAGATTAAGTAGATAAGGAATATAAGTTATATAATATATATATATATATATATGTAAAGTAGCTAATTATAAGATAATAAATATATATTAAGTAGATAATAAATATTAGTAATGTAATATATGTATATATAAGTAGATATAATAATATTTATATAAATAATATATATGTAGAGATAAATTGGAGAAGAATAGAAGATGAAGATGGAGATGAATGAAGATTTTAGAGATTGAGAGAATTAGAGAGTAGAGAAGGTGTAAAAAATGTATAGAAAATAGGAGTATAAATAGGTTTTTTTTCTCCCCCCACCCCCCCACCCCCCTCCAACGGCTATAGAGCCGTTTGGAGGCTCCCAATTGCCCAAACAGCCCCAACGGCTACAAAGACCAAGACCAAGGCCAAAAATTATTTGAAAAAGAATTTTCCCGGGCCCGGACCGCCCTGCACCCGGGCCGGGTGGGCCCGAACCGCCTGTGGCCCGGTGGACCGGGTCGGGCCGGTTGCTACAGTGAGCGGGCCGGGTCGGGCCTGGTTCGGTCCGCCCGGCCCGAGTCCAGGCCTAACATTTATAGTGCGACGGGGGTAGTGATTTTCTAAAAAGAATATCATTAAATCACTCTTTAATTATCACTCTTAATCTCTTGCGTTATTATATGTAAAAAAAAATCCTAAAAATAATTTGAGAGCGGACATGGATCTGTTTGCTTTATCGTCGGTCAAGCATCGTAAATCAAATTGTCCCAATCTTAGTGGGACGCAGGGAGTATTTATTTTTGTTTTTATTTTTATTTGTTTCATTTTCATTTCATTTTCATTTACCCCAGTGCCGCAAAGGCTCCCACCTACGGTGGGGTAAGGGGGGTCGGATGTATACAGTCTTACCTCTGTACTAAAGTACAGAGAGACTGTTTCCAGATGACCCATAGTGAAAATCGCATCCAAAATTGCATGGACTGACTGTTGCTTCATAACAAATAAGTGCAGATAGTTTAATGAGCCATTTTGCTTTATTCCATCATATTCTCAAGCCAAAAAATAATGAATCTTTGGCTCCATTGCAAATGATGGAAATTTTATTTTTATTTGTTAAAAAAACAAATTATAAATAAAGTTATTCTATTACATCTATGTCTTAATCATTAATGAAATATGAATTGTATTAAAATAAAGCAAGGGCAGAATTTGAAAATTAAAATATTCATCTTTAGGAAATTTTGAAGTTATACTCATATTCTTGCAAATACAATTTCATTTAGTCATATTTGGGGAATTCCCCCTAGATTAAATTTATATGATAAAAATTACTCATATTCATTTTTTTATAATAACACAAAAAAATGGTCCAAAAACGTTTAGTTTTTCAGCAAAATTGAAAATCTGTTTAGAATGGGATGAAAGAGGTGTGAAAATAATATTTATACAAATGAAATTATAAATAATATTAATATATGTTTTTAATAGTGTGAGGATTAAAATATAGTTATATAATACTCCCTCCGTCCCATTTTGGTTGTCCTACTTTCCTTTTTGGGTTGTCCCAAAATGAATGTCTTGTTTCCTTTTTTGACATGAAATATGTGGTTCTTATTAATTCACTTTATTTTACTCAAATCTCAACCACAACTTTTACTTTTCAACCACTTTATTAATAATCGTGCCAAATTGAAAGTGGACAACTATTATGGGACGGAGGGAGTATAATAATGGAAATTAGAAATAATTATTATTATTACAAAGTTATTTGAACCAAATAATAATAGTGTTAGGTTGGATAGATATAGATGTTTTACGTACATATGAGCGTATTGAACACGTAACTCAAATGGTACGCCATCTGTTGTATCTCAGCCCCATCCAGGGATCGAATTCCCTTGGTTCAATTTTCTTTTTATGAAAAATTCGGATTAGAAGCTAAAAGTGGGCATAATAAAAAAGAAAATGGAAAAAGTATATATGAGAGAGAGAAAGTGAGGATGACTTGCTATTGAAGGTCACCTTTGGGTGTTTTGGCTCATTTGATTGTTTTATGAGAGTATATGGGGTCTTCATGATGCTTTTTATAATACATGGGTGTAAGCAGGGCCGGCCCTGGACAAGGCCAGGCCGGGCTTGTGCCCCGGGCCCAACATTTACAGGGGCCCATAATTATATATAAATGGATAAATACAGAGAGGACAATTCATATCAGACCGAGGTCATTTGGGGCCCTTTATGGAGGAATTTTTTTATGAAACTTTTTTAGAGTATTTTTCAAGTGTAAATTACATTCACAAAATTTTAGTTTAAAAATCAACCGGGAAGTCAGTTAAATAAAATATTGAAACACACTGCGCTTTGTGTATATAAATAATGCGCACTATCTTTCAATAATTTATTTAACTGACTTTCAGGTTGAATTTTAATCTGAAACTTTGTGGAGATATTATAGATTTCATGAAGAATATATTTAAAAATTTTCATGAAAAAAATCTATCGGGAAGGGCCTCAAATGGCCCCGGTCTGACATAATTTCCCGTTAGGCAGGCCTAATTTCAAGGTTTCATCTTTGGACTTTAATTCGTTTTGCCCATCAATCAACACTCTCCTAATTTTCTCAAAAATATCTTCCAAATTTGAAATTTCAATTTCACAAGTAATTCTCTGGTTTTATTTTTTATTTTTTAATATAATTTTTATTCATTTAGTTTAGTTTATATATTAAGACTTTGATGAAAGACTTACATTACTTTGTACGTTGAAATTTGTGTATATAAAGTTAAACTTTTGCAATATAATTATATAACCTTTTAAGGGCCTTCTTTTTTCAATCGCCCCGGACCCATAAAATATGAGGACCGGCCCTGGGTGTAAGTGACCGATTTGCAATAGTACAAGGGTGTATTTATGAAACTATGAAGTTTTGAGGTATGGCTTGACGTTGAGCTCTATGATTATGTGGAAGTGTAAAACAATCAAAATTATATATACAATAGTCTTCATGTCAGGCCGGCCTGACAGGATGCTCCGTCCGGACGAGTCCATTTCGGACACTTCCCGGTGTAATTTCTTAATGAAATTTTTGAGCATGTTCTTCATGAAGTCTAGTTTATCCATACCAAATTTCAACTAAAAATTCAATCGGGAAGGCACTCAAATAATCTCTTGAAGTTAACTGGGCAGTTCATATGTGTATGAACTGCCCAGTTAACTGTGTATGAACTGCCCAGTTAACTTCAAGAGATTATTTGAGTGCCTTTCCGATTGAAGTTTTAGCTACAATTTGGTATGGATAAACTAGACTTCATGAAGAACATGCTCAAAAATTTTCATCAAAATATTTAGCCGGAAGTTACATATTTAGTGAAAAAGTTGACTTATAGACTTGGTAAACCAAAAAACATGTTCACCAAACAATTAGCTCTTACTTTTACTTAGTTCTATTTAGATAAATCTCTCAAAAATTAATAGGAAAACATTATATCATTTATAATGCTTGGCAGAAATGAGATGGCTTAAATGTGTAGTGTCGAAAATGTCAGCTCATTGGAGCCCTCTAAAAGAGTAAAAGCTCAACAAAATTGGGTGGAATCATTAGGAAAGCTTCTTCAGAAAGGTATGGAGCAGCAGTTAATTACAAGAGAAAACATTATTAAAGAGAAGCAAAAAATTTGTGGTAATGATTCAAAGCGAGAGAACTCTGCCCATATTAAATTTGTTCTTGTGGAGGGTTCTGTGCATGAATAATTAAAACACAGTAAGGTTTGACGCATTTTTTAAATGAGCTAATGCGTCGAATTTATATTTCATGAGGGGGTTCGGTGCATTAAACCCCTTTCAATTATTATGATCTTTTTCGGTTATTTTATACTCCCTCCGTCCTGTTAAAAAGATTCTCTATCTATTTTAGGAAATAACTTACTCTATTTAATACACTTTTACTCAAGTTTCTATTTCTTACTCATTAAATGTCAAGTCTCATAATTTCACATTTTCACTCCCTTTAATTACTTTCACTTTATATGTTTAGTTTTTGTAAAAAAAATCTTTTCTTTTTTACACAAATTACTTTATTTAATCACTTGCCCAAAAAGTTATGTTGGGGTAAATCACGTAGGGGGTGATAATTCGAGTACTTGGATATCTTAAGGATCGTGTAAGTTCACTTTCCGAATTGATATTTCTCCCCTATGCCTGGGTTACAAGAAATTCAATCTAGGATAATCCTTAAGGACACTCTAGAACTAGTGACAAACTAGTGAGTATATGGATTGTTATCTTTAATTTGAGTGCCAAAGTGATGAAGATATGTTGGATATGTTTCCTCCTCCTCCTCTGTACGAAATATGGTGGTATATATCCATATTCATCGTCCTAGGCAGTAGTAACACGATTAAGAATAACCGCAGCAGTTTTTGGGAAACTGCTGGAAACTGCCTAACCGTTCTAGAACTCGGTCTAGAACCACAGAGCTGGTCTACTGAAAGTTATACCTCGAGTTCTACCTCGAGTTCCACTAACGTAGACACTTTGGAACTAAACTAGTTCTTATATACAAGTGTGCACTCCACACCTACTAACTTGTATTAGATCATAGTTCTAATTCCCATTGGCACTCATGTCATTTCCAATTACACAAAATGGCCGGTGACACTAAAATCACCAACAAGTTATGTCATTTACCCACGGGAACCTTCTAACGAGACATGGGAGTATCATAAATTGCAAGATTATACTACGTATAATATAACCCTACAAGTATGCAACCTAGATGATATACTCCAAATAGCAACGGTTAAAACGGTGCACACTACAAATGTTATTCAGTAACTCTAGCTTGTTACAAGAGAGTTTCTGTTTGATATTATTGTTTAATGCACATTCTAAGAACAAAATAAATTAACTTATAAGAACTACTACGATAGTTAACACTTTTCTTCTTGACAAATGACAATCATATCCTTGCTGGTTCATCTGAGCGAACGCACTCGTGATCGATCTTTGAGAATCAGAACTTAGCCATAATGATCTCTCGCATAAACTCTTCAGGTGCTGTAGAAAATCATGAAAATAAAAATATCTCAAAAATTCAAAAAATTTTAAAGGGTCGTCTGTAAAATGAAACAGCATTAAGACTTAGTTATAGTCTAAAATATAAATTAATGAGAGAAGTAGCCAATGAGTCATATGTGAGATTGTATTTTGTAGCATACCAAGTTTGGAGTATATGTGCATGTTGTTAGGCTTGTCATTGAGGTTGGTAAATTGTGATAACATATTAAGATTTATGGGGTTTCATTTTTAATGGTCATATTGATATAAAGTGTAGTTTATATAAGATCTTATAAGTGAGAATGTATTTTGTACTCTATTGAGATGTGATTGTAAGACTAAGTTGAAATCATTAAATCCTCCATATGCATATAAAGAATGATTCAATTTTTTTAAACCTTTGTGCCCAGTGAAGAGATTGAACTGGGCCATGGCCTGACGGAGAAACATTTCAACTCCACTAACAGCAATCGCTCCAGCGGCCTCCGCTGCTTTCAGTAGAGTAGTCTTCCTTGGGGTGTAGACGGCATCAAAGACAACTCGGTAATTGCTTAGCGTTTCCTAGAGAAAGAGATAAAGGTATATACAGTTTAACATCATCTTCATGCATTCAAATGAAAGATGACATACTAATTGTGTGTAGTGCAGTTCAAATAAGAGTGTTTCTAGTAAATATGAAAAGTGCTCGATTCAACAAGTTACAGTTTATGTGTCCAGTAGTGCACTACTTTGAGAAGGACGAAAAGTTTGATTTATTTACGGATATGCCGTGACATTTTTTAGTACTGCATTGTTGTCATTTTAAGAGTGATTATATTCTAAATCCTAAGCATCAGATTCACACTTGATCCTTCCTTTGAATCATGTTCTTATTTATACCAATATCTGTGTCTGTGTTTACACAAGAAGTATATAAGAAGAACCTCAGCTATGGGGATGCGATCTGTATTTGGATGCATTCCCATTGGTGTGGCATTTGCAAGGATGGAACCCCTCTCAGGTTGGAAAGAAGGTAAGACTTCAAATGATTGAGCTTCGCCCGACACTGCCTCAGCGAGAGCCTTTGCTCTACCTTTTACATGAACCAGAAGAAATTAAGAAACTGCATAAGTTATCATGTGGTCCTGCTAACATCACTAAGTCCATATATTTTGTGTTGTAATATGACAAGAAAAAATGTTATGCTGCAGAATAATGTAACAATCATCATTTATGTAAGACAGTATTGCAGGAAGGTGAAAAGTAATAGAGTATGGATAGTAGTTAAGTACTCTGACATACCGAAGTCAATGTCGAAAATTATAACCCGAGCACCCCTAGTCTTAGCCCCAAATGCCAGGGCTCTCCCTGCACCTCCAGCACCAACTACTACGAACAGTTTTCCAGAGAGCGGTGAGGGATGGAATGCTGCTCCGTTAGTCCATCCATTAACTGAAAGAATCAACCATTAAAGCTTCATGTTACTCTTAGAATAGTACAACTTTGAACTTGGCAATGAGGCAACTTAATTATTAATTATTAATGATCTCAACCAGTGCATGTGTATGGGATTTATTAGCTTCCAAACCTTTCAGGGTTAAAGCATCCTCGATTGCAGTTATGGAAGCCTCGCAATCTGTGTTATAACCTATAAGCTTCCCATCGCTTGGCCGCCTAACAACAGTATTTACAGCCCCTATGGACTGATGAAACATATATGGAAGATAAGGTCAAGTCAATACTTAATAGGATGTTCAACCATTCAATGCTAATGCAAATACCCCTCCCTCCATCCCAGTAAAATTTGCCTGACTCTAGTAAAATATCTACCCAATAACTTTTTCACTTTCTTTTTAAAGTAACAAACTTGGGGCTTATATTATTTTTCATACTCCACAAAAATGATATTCACGCAGTTTTTGCTTTCTTGTTTCATATGTGTAAGTCAAACTTGATAAAGTTTTATGGGAGAGAGGGAGTAGTGAGAATCAACTGTGTTAGAGAGTAAGCATCAATTCAGACCAAATGCAACAGTTATGGTTCTCACATTTTCTGTATAGTCAATGAGGATTTTTAAATACTGTCCCTTCTCAATGCAGAAAATGCATTAATTGCATATCGAGTTATGTATTGAATTTTTTCTCCCTTTTTTCCCCAACCTGAGCAAGCGGATGGACTTCGTCGCAAAATTTGACTACTGCTTCCTTGTATGGTATCCCAACACTGCAATGTCCAGCAAGAAAGTAAAATTTGCTTAATTACTACTCCCTCCGCCCCAAAAACATAGTCCTAATGGTCATAATGCTTTCAGTATTACACCAAAAGACTCCTTTTATGATGAACAAATCCGCATTAGTTCAGAGGTAAAAGAAAAGAAAAATGCAAACCTGAAGCCACCAATATCAGGACTTGAATAGACCTTAAAAAACTCTTCAAGGTCATCTACAAGCATTGGAACATAAATCCCATTGTAACCCATGTGTCTGAATGTAGGGTTATGCAAGAGAGGCCCTTTGCTATGGCTCACCGGTTTCGAGATTAAGCCAAAAACTTTAGTATCTCCATCTATGTCTTCAATTTGATACGCTCGTCTAAGGTGATCAATACTTGGCAAACCGGGCACCTTTGGATTCCCTTCAACGGATCCGTATACTAAGACACTACCGAATTTAGGGCCCAACAGCTGACTTATAAGACCTCTTTCTCCAATAGAATAGGCAATAACTGGTACCTGTAAGCAGCAAAAAAAACTCGATGCTTGTTTTTTATATTTGTAAAAAGTGTTTGTAGCTGAAATTTTTCTTCTTATTCTTCTTCTTTCTCACTACCTGACAATGTGAAAGCAAATGGAATAGCTTTGGAAGTTCTGTAATATCACTTGCATAGGCAACGACTTTAATGATATCTGCCCAGCCAGTAGATTGCATACGGGCAATAATGTCACTAAGATCTTCTTTCCCTTTCGCTTTTCTTCTTCTCTCACCGTGAAATCATAAGCCATCTGAGTCAGTAGTCACCGCAGGAAACTACATTACTGTTAATGAAGAATTCGGTTGCTATAACAAAATTTTAAAACAAAAACTATTAAAGCTGTCATTGATGTATATGTTTTTTTTTGTTGTAAAACTAAATTAATAGACTGAACAACTTGAATGGCAGATAATTATGTCAAACTCCTAAAGGGCTAGCCAAACAGTTCAAACAAATAAACAATAATCAGATCAAACTATGATACCATATAAGTTTGGGAGTAACTCCCTCTAAAAGGTAATATTTAACATAAATCTGGTAAACATCTAAAAGGTAAAGTTTGGAATATTAAAATTTTGATGGTAATGAAAAGAATACATAAAAAAAGACAAACGGATATCATGCAGGGAGAGAGTGCTCTAAAAAAATAATATGTATGTAATTCTTTTGAAATGATCAATTTTCTTAACTATGGTGAATGTAAATTTGGGAAGCATTATATGCAAAGTGCATTAAAATCACCTTGAGATCAAAGTCAACATAATCTGCTCCCAGTTCTCTGGCTAGACAAAGTGTTTCAAGTTGCTTGTCATCATCATCATCACATTCAATGTTATCACCTTCCCATATTGGTCTGAAACTCAATAAACAACTATTTCATCATCTTATGTTAAGATTTAAGAAGAATTATATATAAAGACATATATTTCAGAGTACATGCACTTGGTAAGTATTACAAAATGTGCTTTCTGATAAATAAATGGGGATCATGATGTCTATTAAAATTTGATAAGAGTAGTACTGCAATGCCTTTGTATATGTTGGCTTTAATCTTTATCTTGGGAATGTGAGATGAGATGGCTTAATTGTCCATTTAGAAAATCAATGAAGCAACCAGTTAAAATATCAAATTCAGGAACTTATTCCCCCCCCCCCCCCAATTACAGTGCCTTAACTTATCTCATTCTTCATGTTGTTTTAAACAACTTTAACTACAATATCGTTGTTAACGGTTATCCCCATCAACATTTCTATGCTAGCTCACTATTAATTTATTGTTATCATTATTATTACTATTATTATTATCATCATTATTATGATTATAATGGTGTAAAATGAAGAAGTGAAAAGAAGGAAGGCCCTTCCAAACATAAGTCCTAACACACCTTCCGGTCCTATTACAGTGCTTATCTAGTTAACTGAGCTGGAAAAACTGTATTCAAATTTAAGTAAACATATTTATTAAGAAAATTTAAGTAAACATATTTAAAGATAATAATTAAGAAAAAGACAATAGAACCTAATAGTCTATGGTAGTTGTGGATTCTCATTGTCAATAAATTGGTTTGATGTGAGTCAACTTTACGTGGAGTTGGTTCACCAACCATTCAACTTTTATTTAGACTGGTTTGATGTAAAAAAAATCATAATTCAGCAGATTTAGGGAGTGTTTGCAACTGCTTCTGCTTAAAAAAAAAGCACTTTTGGAGAAGTAATGAAAAAGTGATTAGTAGTAAAAGTTGATAGTGTTTGAAAAAAAAGTGATTTTGAAAAGTAAAAGTTGGTAGTGTTTGGTAAAATAAGTGCTTTTTGTGTAATAGAAAAGGGAAAAGCACTTTTCACACGCAAGCCGAGAAAAAGTAAAAATTTGTAGTGTTTGGTAAATAAGTGCTTTTAAAGCCAAAAGCTGAGAAGTGATTTTTTTTAAGCAGTTGCAAACACTCCCTTAGCTAATGCTGCTACTTCAACCGGTTTCATCAATCTCAAAAAAAAAACTCCGTAGCTGATTAAGTCAATTTTATTGTTACCAAATGGACACTAAACTCGTGAAAGGCACTCTCCAATTTTTGGGAAAACATATTGTGTAGGAGGAACATAGCTTAGGATATTTTTACTTGGACTGTAATTTGCTGGTATGGTCTGAACTGGTCTGGTCTGGTATGAACTGGTATGGTCTGATAATGTCTGGTCTCTTTATATTTTTATAACTATCCAATTCTGGTCTGGTCTAGTTTGAACTGGTCTGGTCTGGAACGAATTACCATCCAAGTAAACACATCCTTATTTACTTTAATGTGATCACCATTTTTTACGCACAAAATCAATATTTCAATCTTAGGATGTATTTAATTGAACTTAAATTAGTTTGGTCTGATCTAATATGGTTTGGTCGGTCTAAACTAGGCTGGTGTGATAAATTTAAATTTGGCTTGATGTGATCTGTTTAAGTCTGACCTATTCTGTTTTGTGAGGACTAAGGATGTTTTCTTTTGAACCGAAATTTGCTGATTTGGTATGTTTAAGTCTGGTTTTGTTTGGTAAATGTTTGTTTATGTCTGATCTAATCTGATCTAGAATTGAAAATAATCCAAAATGAAACATCCTAAAAGGCTAAAACCAGTTTAAATAAAAGCACGACTCAAATTTTTATTTCTTAAAAACTTTTTTAGCGTTATCCATCGTACTCCGTATATACCTTTACCCATTTCACCATTTGTAGTTTTAAAAGCAGGTACAAAGATAGCAGGTGGAGGATTTGATGTGAAAATTGACTAGATTAGCAACTAGAGGTGGGCAAACCGGGTTACGGTTCGGTTTTCTTCGATTTCGGTATATTCGGGTTGGGAGAATTTATACCAAACTAAAACCATTTATTTTTCAGATTGGTTTCGGTTCGGTTTCAGTTCGGTTCGGTTTGATGTCCGATTTACCAAAGTGAAAAGTATTAGGTTTAATTTAGTTCGATTTGATTCGTTTTCTTATGTTTATTATAATTTTATTTGATCAAGTTCTTATATTCTAGCATTAGAAAATGAAAGTAATAGTTTATCTCATCTTCTTTTATTGATTATTTAAATAAAATGTAAAAGGAAATAAACGATAGAAAAAGAAATAATAAAATATTATGAATTAAAAAACTTCTAACATCTTTTCGATCACTAGAAAAAGATTCACTTCTCACAAAAAATAAGATTATAGTTGATTATCATTTATAATACGGAGTATCACATAAAATATTCAAAAAAAAAACTAAAGGAGTTGGTGGTACAAATGTTGTAGTATTCACAAATTTATTCAAGCAAATCATGTATAAAATATAAATGCAATCTGCTATTGTTATCGTCAAACTTAACAAATACAAATATGTCGTATTAGCTAACTTTGTGATAATGAATGTATGAAATGTGTAAAAGTTAAAATGATATATGTTAAATATGTATTTTTTATATCTAAATTATTTATTAATATCTTAAAAATGAAGAGTGAAGATAAATACAAAGTATGTTATGTGTGTGTAAGTTGTTCGGTGTTCGGTTCAGTTTACGATTTTTCGGTTTCAAACCAAACCAAACCAAACCATTCGGTTTGAGCAAATTCTTACCAAACGTTTTACTTAAGTGAACCCAAACCAAACCACCAATTTTCAGTACGGTTCGATTCGATTTGGTTAAATAAAACCATTTTGCCCATCCCTATTAGCAACGTTCAATTGAGTGTTTTTCAAAGTTAGATTCAAAAAAGCGTATTTGTAACTAAAAAGTTAGACCGGGTCCCTTGTCTGGGTTTTTTCTGTCCACACATGTTTCAGTGCTGGACGATCCGTATTGACTTGTGTTTATATAGAGTTTGTAGACAGCTTCCTATTCTTTTTCCTATACAAATTACATGTGGTGCCCACATCTTTACCGATGGGCGTAGCTCAACTGGTAGCGAGGGAGTGCCACAAGGGTTAGGTCTCGGGTTCGAATCCCGGCAACTACGATGAGGGGTTACTATGGTGAAAAATGCATAGGGCCTCTGTAAGTACCGGGGACAGAGCCCCACTCTCTATCTGTCAGATTGTGATTATAGTCCAATTTACATCCTCTCATCGTGCCGTCCGGTCGGTGTTGGGGGGCCCTTAGGGATGGGGTGTCATCCATCTTTGGTCGTATAGTCTCTATTTAATAACAAAAATTGTTAGTGTACATGAGTTGTACACTAACAATTCGTCTAATTGTTAGTATACACAAAATTCCTCTAATTATTTGTGTACATAAGCAATTCGTTTGAAAAAAAACAGAATTTGATGTCAAAAATCCCCTAGTTGATAAGTGTTTAGTTTCTTTGCATTTTATAAACCAAAGCTAATCTGACCAGATTTGAATTACTCCGTAATATTTTGAAAAACTATACTCTCTCCTTATTTTTTTTGTTTGTCACACTTTCCTTTTTTGGATGTATTCAAAAATTTGCTACAATTTCTCTCTTTGGTAAGTCTTTCCTTTTTAAATACTCCCTCGTCCCTAAATAAACTTCCAACTTTCCTTTTTCGTCTGTCTCAATTAAAATTTCCACTTTCCCTTTTTGGCCAGAATGTGTGGTTCACAACAATTCTTACACATTTCTCTCTCCTTTGCACAACTCTCCACCACACAATACCCACTATTTGGAAGTTTAATAAGGGACGGATGGAGTACTCAACTACTCTTACTATTTCTACTCTTACGATCACGTGGCCCTAAACCAGTTCCTCCCATTTCCCGTGGATCGATGAACATCTTCTGCCAGAGCAGAAGGCTAGTAGGGCCACGAGCATGGGACGACGAAGCAGGGAACCCGCGATAGGGTAAACCAGTGTCCTCCTTGCGATCGGTGAATACCGAACGTCTTCTTCGAAGTAAGAAGGTTAGTAGGGTCCCGACAAGGACGAACGAAGAAACGGGAACCCTGACAGGGTATACCAGTACCTCCCCCTTGATGGACGGATGACGAACGTCCTCTGCGAAGCCAGAAGACTAGTAACTCACGACTGGGGACGAACAGAGATAGGGAATCCCGACGCGGATAAACCTGTTTCTTCTCAGAGTGGGGATGACGAACGTCTCCTGCGAAACCAGGAGACCAGTAATCACGAAACATGGGAAGAACAAAGACCGATAAAAGACTCCAAAAAAAAAAAAGAGAGAGAAGCAAGATATGCTAGACGAACATGGAGCAAACAATAATTTTTAGGAAAAATTCACACCATTAATCTAACCTATTGGGATTCTTCTAATATTAATCCCACATATGAGTAATTCCAATTTAATCCAATCTATATAGGGTATCTTCTCAAAATAAACCCCAACCTTAATGAATCAGGTTATCCGGTGACCTATCACACGTGTCTTATTCCTATTGGCTTTCTACATTTTAATTTTTTTGTTTTAGTTTTTTCTTTTTATTTCTTTACTCTGACCGCAGCTCCTTCCTTCGACAATCAGATCAGCACGTCTTACGAGGCCACGGTGGTGGAGGAGCCGCCCGGCGGCAAGGGCTACATAGTCCAGTACAACACTCTCATCAAGGACGACCTTTCCGGGCCGCTGCGGGAGGCGGTGAGTGCCGCGGAGGTCAGGCCGCATCCGCCGGAGATCAAGGCGGCGGAATTCTACATGGACGAGGTGGTCGACGTTTTTGACAACGACGGGTGTTGGGTGGGGCGGATCAGCGGGAAGCTCGGCAGCCGGCGTTATTACGTGTCCTTCCATTCCCGATCCCACCCAGGAAATATCCAAACTCTAATTTGCCCCAAACACAGAATCAGGGTTCATCTCCATTGCTAGAGTAAACTTGGATATGGAAACCCATGGTTACAGCTCAAACCATTCT